GTCTAAGTATATGAGATACTCATATACTCTTTTAAATTTAGACTATCTATCATACACCGGACATGGGATATAAAAATCCACTAGACATGAGGGGAAAGAGAGAGTTCCCAAATCGCCGTTCATTCTTTTCCGAATCAAATTGCGTAACGATCTCTCGTAGCAGCGTAGCGTAACGTAAAGCATTGTCAGTCTCATGACTCCCTCTCCTATCCGTCTCATTCGCCATTCCCACTCTTTACTTTTTCTTCGTCTCTTTCCCCTATACTCTTCCGCGGTACTTTGTGTTCGCTATCTCCCCTTTCCGCTCCTCTGAAAACCTGGTTACCCCCACTCTAAAGTCGCTTATTCCCTCATCCCTTCCTCAATAGTTCGACTGACCCCGGGCCTCTCACCCACGCTGTAGCTTCGTAGTAAAAATGGCCGATGCTTGTGCAGACTGTAGTAAATGTGTTAGGATCGGATCTTTATAGTATTCTATATTCATAGATAAATTGCATTAGATGATATAGATGATTTTAATAGATTAGATAATATTTATAATAACTTCCGCTTTAGAATATTTTTATTTATTATTCTATTATTGATCATTATCTTTTATTATTATCTTATCGCTCATACGTACATAATGAGTTAATACATATTTATATTACAAATACATAATAAATATATTAGTCAATATATTATGCTCAATTTTTTTCATAATTTACGTAATTATATATTTTTTGAGAATAAAAGATCAAAAGTATTGAAATTCATTTTGTTTTAATCATACAAATTTTTGGTGATAATTTCTTAAAATAATTTAATGAGAGATATATCATTATGCATTTTAAAAAATTAATGAAAATTCGCGTTACGCTTTGTACGTTTATCAAAATCAGTAAACAAATTGAATCAGTAAACAAATTCACGCGAGTTTCTCGATACGCGCTGAGAAGAGATGCGCCCCTGTAAGGGGCTCAGAACATCATACTACACCGTACTATATATTGTACTATAGTAAGTATCAGCGGGACCACGACCGCGTTCACTGGTCCCCGCTCGTTTCCTTACCTGCCCACAAGAGTCCCGCGTGGCGCTGTAGTCACTGTTGAAGTCTCCCGGCTTCGTTCGGGCATTGTTGCATCGACGCCCGCTTAAGAGAGTATCTTGCGCGATCGCATCGCGTTTTACATTTTCTCTATTATTTGGGATCCAGTGTATAATGTATAGTGCAATTCATAATCGACAAGATTGTCGATGATTTTATGAGTGTTTTGCCGGATTTTTATGAGAAAATAACGGTGACTACAAATTGGAGTAAACCGACCAACCGCTATGAAACAGGATCAGAGACCGCGGAGGCAGGCCCTCTTCCAGATTGCCAAGGTTTGGTCTTATGGTTTCTCTTTTCTTTTTTATTTATTTATTATTTATTGATCTCGGTTTATCACCGTTGAAATCGGCTGATGTCATTAAAAATTGCGATACGATATCCTGTGATAATGTGTATACCGTTATATCTATCCTAAGCGGAGAACCTGTTGATTCTCAGGACACTCGCAGTGTATAAATCATTTTATGTCGATATTTTTGCATTATGGAAGAAAAGACATGAAAATCGGCTATTTATTATGTATCTATAGCGTTTTAATAATTTAAATACTTTACACTGTTTGTTGTGATATGTTTGTTTATATATGTAACTCGTTGACAGATGACAATGAGGGCGTTGATGCGATAAAGTAATATGTAATATTGATCATAAATGTTACATTGAATTGTTAATTATTATTATATAAAAAAATTCAGAATAATTATAAAATGTTTAGTAATAATAATAATAATAACAATAATAATAATAATATTGTTGCCTAATTTACAAGCGCTCTGAAGTTAAGTTTTATTTAACTAAATGAGATTATTTATTTTTTTTGCAATATGTATTTAACAAATACTTTTTTCATTTCTTTACATTTGTTTTGCAATTCAAAATATTGTAAGATAACGCAAATATCTGTATATTCTTATATATTATAGAAAGGTATAAGGTCGATTTGTGGGGCGTGGTTGTATAAAACGGTGGATAATTTATTTACGTAATTTATTTTCTAATGATAATATAGCGGCACTCTCTGTTTGTTATGCTGTAGAAAATCCCGCGGAATGCACAATGCGTTTTTTCTGAAGTCAATTAAAACGATCCAACATGAATCATGCGATTTTATATGACAGTCAAAAGTATGACTTTTTTAAATTTATTAGAAAATATAGGATGATAATTTAATTTTTCGATAAAGTGAATACATCATAAATTGATTGAAAAGTTTTAAATGTGATTTCCCAATCATTTGAAATCAGACATTTTTGTGGTTGCAGTAAAACGCTTAAAACGATGCCCGCGTAGTAACTTGTTTTTTATCATATAATTGGTGCAATAATTATGGGCGTACCCAGGATTTCAATCAAGGAAAGGAATTTATCTTTACATAAAACTTTATTAACATACTATATTAAAATCAATTTTTGAAGATTCTCAACGAACGTATGTACGAATACGATCACACATGATTAATAAACGTTTAATTTTTGGTCATAAAAATTATTTTCATAATTTAATTGGTTTTTTTTTTACTAAAATTGAGAAGGGGCAAGTATTCTTTTTTATACATGTCATAGTAATAATGGATCTTATGAAGTTTTAAACAAATTATTGAAGCATCAAAATAAATGAATAGAAAAAGACTTCTTATATTATATCTATTTTATATCTATTTTATTACTATATACAGAAGTAGCCCGTATGAGCTTTGTAATTGTAGTATCATAGAAAATATCTCGCACGATCGTCACGGAGCAGTAACTAGGTATTTAGAGCACTTTGAAATTCTCATCAGACACAATTCATGCCATCGTTCTTGAATTTTTTTTTAACACACTTGGGTAAACAATAAATTATGCGAAAAATGGTGACGCATATTTCAATTTTATGTTTTAATTATATGTTAATTATATTTAATTATTCTTATAATATATATTATCATAATATATATTATCAATAGATAGAAAATAATTAAAAAATTTAGTTAGTTTTAATTAGTATTGCAATAAATTTGAATTTTTTAATATCTGCTTTTTATATTGTACAATAATATTTATCATAAAGGAAGAAAATAAAGATACAGAAATAAAAAAATATTTGATTATATACGATAATTTTTAATTGGACACAGTAATATAAT